TATAATCTAAGTGCCCAAGCAATGTGAAAAGACAGCGCCGAAGCTTGTAATTCCAAACCTGCAAAGACAGAAATCCAACTAAGAAATAGGATATATACTGGTCTTCAGCTTCTGAAAGGCTCAGGTTTCTCAATGAACAAATTTGGATTTATATTTTGGCATTTTAAAATAGGTAGAAACTTTGATAGGGAGGCTTGTTTAAGATTGTAGGGAAAAAGACCAAAGATAAAAATATGGGTCAGCTAAATAATGTGGGGTGAAAGGGGGTGGAGGGCAAGGTTAGGGGAAAGCTAAAGATAAAATTATAGAAAAATTTTTCTTTCTTTGAGAAGAGACCATCTCTATTTAATAACAGGAGACAAGACAATTTATCCAGGGCTTAACTTGAAACTCGTCTTTCTATTGCATAATTATGTTCTCAGCTTGAATACAGACCACTTAGTGCTTTACCTATCACCTTAAAAAAGTAGGATAGATACCATGATGACTCTTAAGGAAACAACAATATAACATCTATTTTCTGTCTCTATAGATTTACCTATTCTGGACATTTCATATAAATGGAAGATAACTCCTTTTCTAAAATATTAATCATTTTAGAAAATAACTTTTTTCTTAAATGATACCCAGTCTTTCCTTTCTTAAATAGATTTTAAGGAAACCCTACTTAACCAATTTTTATTTTTAAAAGATGACCGGTAAGGGGATCTTAACCCTTGACTTGGTATTGTCAGCACCAAGCTCTCCCAAGTGAGCTAACCGGCCATCCCTATATAGAGATCCGAACCCGTGGCCTTGGTGTTATCAGCACCACACTCTCCCAAGTGAATCACAGGCCGGCCCACCTGAGTAATCTTAAAAAAAAAAAAAATCTAAATCTGATATCACTCCAATATTTAAACCCCTTTCATGGTTCCTTTCTATCTGTATGATAACATCCAAACTTCTGAGCACTGCAACTAGGTACTCCATGATCTGGTCCCTCTCATCTCCTGACCCTTCTCTCACCTTTTCTCCATTCTCCACACAAAACTAATTAGATTTTTTCAAATGTATCCAGCTATGTCATGCCTTTTGTCTTTGCACCTGGACAGCTATTTCACTTTGAATATCTCTCTATTGTATCATTCACCAAACTGTAAGTCCTATTATTTGGGTATGTTTATCTCCTCTATTTGAATAAAAGCTTCTTGAGAACAGAAGACATTTCTTATTTATTTTTGAATTCCCAAAAAAGAAAACACTATCTGGTACACAGCAAACATTCAATAAATGTTTGCTGGATAAGTGCTCTGCATAATGTTGTCAAAAGCCTGAGCTCTGTATGAGTTGTCCTGTATTTTAGTCCCTTCCATAATTCCCAAACCTTTTCACATCCTTCCATCCTTTATTCCCAGTCATGACAGACCTCTGTACCTTAATCTTATAGTCATCTCCTCCAGAGACAAACAGTGGCTGCTGCTTATGGAAGTCAATGCCTCGCACTGGACCTGGGGGAGAAGGCAGAAAACTATGTTAGAAAGAGCTATCTTTGCTAATCTCCATGGTGATTTATATTGAGGATTTTTTCAATTCTATCCCTTCCACATTTTTTAAGCATACAGGAATCCATATCAAACAAAGCTTATACTATCCCAGAAGGCAATAATACTTATATCCCTTTTAACTTCCTCCTAGAAACTATCTTACCATCATGTTCATCAAACTTGTCAATGAGGGTGCACATCCGATAGTCCCATAACTGGATGACCCCATTGTGTAAACTAGTCAGGATCCAGGGCCTTTTGGGGTGAAAACTGAGCCCTGAAAAAAGCAGAAAATAATACAATGAGCTAAGTAAGCCCCCCAATGTCACCTTCTGTGAATTCTGATGTAAAAAATAAATGAATGAATAAATAAATAAAAGGAACAACTAGGTTAATCTTAGGCTCATTCATTCATTCAACATGCCTGGTGATTTTTTATTGGATGCCAGATATTGTGAATTTTTTATTGTTAGGTGCTGGATTTTAGCGGCATTCCTAGAATACAGTTAAGTTACTTGGAATCGGTTGATCCTTTAGAAGCTTGCTTTTAAGTTTTGTTACAGCAGCTCCACAGCAGCCTTTAGTCTTGGTCTAACTTGGAACTACTGTTAGGTAATTCCCTTCTGAGGTCTCTGTATAATGCCCTGTAATGTTAGGAAGTCTTTCCATTCTGGCTAGTAGGAACATAAACTATTCCCAGCCCAGTGTCAGCTACAGGGATTGTTCTGCCTTCTCTTTTCCCACAGTTCTTTTCCAGGCCTGAGAAGGTCCCTGCAGATCTCCAGTGCTCCCTCAGTGCACCTCCCTCATCTCTGGCATTTTGCCAGGCAAATTCTAATCATCTTTGCTTACCTGAACTCTAAATTCTACTTCCTCAGCAAGACCACAGGCCCTTCCCTCTCCCTTCACTGCAGCCTGGAAACTAACTCTAGGCAGTAAGCTAAAACAATCATAGGACTCACTTTATTTATTCTCCTTCTCTCAAGAATCACTTTCTTGCACTGCATGTTGAACAATATCTGAAAACCTTTGTTTCATACATTTTGTCCAGTTGTGTAGTTGTTTTTTTGGTGGCTGGCTGGTATGAGCAACTGAACCCTTGACCTTGGTGTTACAAGGCCATGCTCCAACTGAGCTAACTGGCCAGCCCCAGTTGTGGTTGTACTTTGTGGTTGTGTAGTCATTTAAGGTGGGAAGGTAAGTCTAATCCTTGTTACTCCATCATGACTGGAAACGGTAACAACAGTTTAGAACGTACCCTTTCAGACTTTTAATGCAGTTATGTATAAACATAAGCATTATTATTTTATGAAAATGGGGATTACATTATAATGTTCTGCAAACTTCTCTTCTCATTTAACTTTATGATATGGATCTCATTACATTTACGTACATATAAACATAACCTCATTCTTTTTAACAACTACAAAGTACGAATGCACGACACTTTTAAATTATTTTACTGTTAGGCATTTAAATTTCCACCTCTAGTTTTTGGCTATCAGAAGAGCCTGCTGCAGATCTTCTACACAAAATCTAGCCTATTTGTATTATTACTGCTTTAGGCTAAAGACCTGAAAATGAGATTGCTCAAGATCAGAGTATGTGCATTTAACGTTTTGGTAGATACTATTTAACTGTAAAAACACCTTATTAATAAACAGTCTCACCACATTTATGAAGTTACCCATTTTGCACACATTGGCCAATATGAGATGTTATCAGTTATCTGTTGTTTTTCTTGTTTTACTAGTCTAGGACCAAAGTTATCTCGCTTTTTTCTTTGTGTTTCTTTCACTACTAGTGAGATGGAGCTATCTCAATTATTTATTAAACATTTACATTTCTTCTTTTAAATTGTCTATTTTTCCCTTAAGTTGTTCTTTTTTTTTTCCTTTATGATATATAAGAATTAACAGAAATTAACCGTCAAATAGTCTGACTTTTTTTTTTCTTCTCTATAGTCCAACAAAAAATTAGCAGAAGAGAAAATTCAAGGATTTATGAAGACCCACTTCAACCACCCAGGTCCCAGAAATTCTTAATGGTATCCTTCATGATTAAGATTTCCATGAGAAGGGAAGGGGGAAGAGGGTTAGCGAGAAAGTGGTAAAGGGCCACAAAATGATTACATTGTACATGATGAATATGCTAATTATCCTGACTTGATCACCACATATTATACACAGGTACTGATATTCAACTCTGTACCCCACAAATATGTACAATCAATTATGTTTTAATTTAAAAAATTTTCCAATGAGACTTAGAAATGCTCAGAATATATTCTCCCATTAATAATGGCCTCCAGTTTTTCAGCTACTGAATCTACAACAGGCACTACAATAAACTTTCCATATAATTTCTGCTTTTATTTCTCTCTATAAGAGAATATTTTACTCACATTTTACAGATGAGGAAATAAAGATTTAGAGATAAGTAGGTTGCTCAAGGTCATATAGCTTGTTAATGGATGTTTCAGGATTCCAAACCAAGCCCATCTGACTCCAAAGACCACTTTGCTAAGCTGCATCAGTCATTTGCCCTCCAAGCTCATCTGCCCATCCTCAAGCTCTAGAGTTGCCATATTTAGCAAATAAAAACACAAGATACTCGGTTAAATTTGAATTTCAGATAAACGATGAAAAATAATTAAAAAATTATTCGCTGTTTATCTGAAATTTATATTTAACAGGGTGTCCTGTATTTCATCCGGCAATCCTATCAAGCTCAGACTTTACTGGGGCTACAGGCCTCAATGTACAATTTCCGGGTAGGAAATAAAGCCCAATGGAGGCACTGGATGTTGAGACGGTGCAGCCAAGGCCTCCTTAAGTGAGGTAGTGCTGTCTCCGAAGAAGCTACTGACTCGGGTGCAAGTGTCAGAGGTCGAGACTCAACCCCCAGGGCCACTCCATATAACAGGCCATCAAAAAGCCAACTTAGGAGCAGAGGAATAAAAGTCGGGAGCATAGCCCCCAGGAGAGGGGGTAAAGGGAAAGAATACGTAGCGGGCCTACGGGGATCCCCTGCGGTGCGAAAACCACTTTATATGTAAATCAAAGCCCAAGCGAACACCAAAGGAGAGGACTGAAGAACCGCCTTCCAGGCCTAATGTCTCTCCCTCCGGTCTTCGGGGTTCGTCTGGTGGGCCTAATTCGGCCGGCAGGTCTACCTATCCTCTCTTCCCCTGTGACAACGCCGCCCCTGACATCAAGCCTCCATGTTCCCCCATCCCCCTCTTTCTTCTCCACTACCTTTGACTCGCGCGCTCTTGGTCTCGAATTTGGTTAGCATCCTTCAAGCCTCCGGCTCCGACGTCCCAATCGGAGCCCCGCCACTCCCCACTACCCTTCGGTTGCCTCCACGTCAGCGACCCTCGGCCTCAGCTCCCGGAAGCTCCTCAAGACACGAATTTCCGGTGTCTGGAGCGTCGGGCCACAGAGACAGCTCCAGTGGTAGCCTAGAGAGGCCGCTACCCGACTGGGAGGGGAACGGAGGCTTCCGCACCGCGGAGAGGCAAGATGGCCACGGCTGGGGGCGGCTCTGGGGCTGACCCGGGAAGTCAGGGTCTTCTTCGCCTTCTGTCTTTCAGCGTCCTACTGGCAGGTGAGGACTCCCCACCGGTGAGCTCCGCTCTGTATGGGGAACTCTCTGGATCTGCCCAGGCGCGAGCGTCGTCGTCTCCCTTCTGGTCCCCACTGCCCCTCTGTCCCCCGACCCTGTAAATCCTCTTTCTCTTTCGTTCCCAGCTCCGCTCTGTATGGGGAACTCTCTGGATCTGCCCAGGCGCGAGCGTCGTCGTCTCCCTTCAGGTCCCCACTGCCCCTCTGTCCCCCGACCCTGTAAATCCTCTTTCTCTTTCGTTCCCATAACAGAAGTTCCCCCTTTGCGTGGACCTGAAGATCTCTAATCCCCTGCGGCACGTTGTGTCGCTCCATTCCCTCCTCTTCCAGGCCTCTTTCTGGACTTCCAGCCCGACTCTCTCCCACTTTGTTCGGATGCTTCATTTTCCCACAGCCCCAGCCACCCCACCCACAATCAAAAGGGACAGGTGTGAAAGTTGAGCTTTCTTCCCCGCCTTTTAGACTTTTTGACATGAAAGCAGCCACTTTCTGTGGGTGCTCTGCGGCTCTTAAAACGTAGATTCCTCATTTCTTTCTCTATTCCACCATAAATCTGTGTCCCTGTGCCTTGACTTAGTCTCACTTTATTGTTGAAAGAAACTAAGGTAGAATATGAATACTCTTTAATTGTTAAGAATATGAAGTAACGGTAAAACTTAAGTATTTATAGTATACATAAGTGTTTGTTTACACGTGTTTATTTTCTGGTAAAAGGCATTCTGGTTGGTTGAGCCCTAAAATGCAAACCATGACTGTGCTTTCCCCCAAATTTACATTGTATTTTTTAAGATCCCCAAAGGAGAAACTATAGCTGCCCCATACTGTGGCACACGCAAGTGACCTACTGATGTTAGATGTGTGGCATAAGTTTCTCCCAATTCTGTTCAGACTCGTGGAAAAATGTCTCAGAAAGTTTTCTTTACTGTAATCTATATTCTTACATCAGCACTCTTTTATAAACTGATTAGTAATATATGTACATGATAGAAAAGCAGAAGTGTGGTCACCCATGCAACCAGAAGCTGGCACATCTAAGGTCAAACACTTTTCCTTTGACAAATCAAGTTTTCTCTTTTTAGCTTCACTGTCAATTGCGCCACATGGAATTTGTAATAACCCTCTGAGGCACATAGCTGGGTGCTTTGCGTTTATCTGTACCAGTAGTGAGCCCAGGAAGTGAAAGAATGGATATTAGTCCCATTTTAGAAAGTATGATATTGAATGATTTATCCAAGCCATACATTGAGCTAATGACATGATACGAGCTGGTACTAGGGTCTGTCAAGTTCTTCTAACACTTTTTATCTTCTGATCAGGTTTGTGCAGGGGAAACTCAGTGGAGAGGAAGATCTACATCCCCTTAAATAAAACAGCTCCCTGTGTTCGTCTGCTCAATGCCACTCATCAGATTGGCTGCCAGTGTGAGTTGGGATTGGGATTTGTGTTTGTGGTCATTGATATTTCAGTTTGTGCCCTGGATTCCAAGAAAGATCCATGTCCTGCTGAGGATTCTCAGCACTCAAATTAGATTGCGTGAATAGGAGGTGATAGAGAACCAAGGCAGATAATTAATCTATCAAACCAGGCAAGATAATTAATAAGAGCTAACATTTAGTAAACGCTGCATACTAAGCTTTTTACATGTGTATCTCATTTAACCCCTGTAAGAATTCCATGAAGTATGTCTTATGAGGGTATTTCAAAAAGTTCATAAAAAACAGAATTAAAAGATAATACAAATCCTTCTGTGAACTTTTCGAAGTGCCTTTTTATTGCCATTTTACAAGTGATAAAACTGAGACTTAGAGAAGTTGAGTAATTTTCTCAAGATCATACTGGTAATAAGTAACAAAGTCAGGATTTAAACCCTGGTGGCCCAACTTCTAAGCCATGACTCCTACCACCTAACTATACTGTTTCCTAAGGAGAAGGAAGTCTCATATTCTATAGAGTCCAGTCATCACCTGCACTCTGAATGATCTTTGTGCAGCCAAAATGGGCTTCTTAAAGGCAGTGAACTATTTGAAGAAAAGGCACTGAAAATGCCAAGTAGTTGCAAGTTGAATTAGTGAAGCATTTGGATTTAACTTTATGCTTTGTAAATGTGTTCCAAAACAGTGCCATGACACCATGGTTTTAAAAACTATAAAAATCATAAAGAGGGAAAACAATTGTGCTCTGAAAGCTAATATACTGTCTTCAGATTTTGTTCTTCCATTAACAGCAGCTCTTTCAGAGTGTAGTTTTGCAAGTAAGCAGGAAATTTAGGGCCTGATCTTGGCTTCTTCATCATGAGATTGATCACCTCTGAATTTCAGTTTACTCCTGTAATAATGGTTGGAATAGTCTTGCACAATGCTGAAAGTCAAAGTACCTTTTGATAGATGTTTGCTGAGTATATAGTATGGTCTCAGCAGTACTGTGTGATTGCCTGAAAGCTCCCAATTGGTAGGAGAAAACTGAGACACTGGGAAGTGACATACTTGCTTAGGGAGGCAGTAACTTTTCTGCCCATTCTTCTCTGAGCTATATTGTATGTCAGTTGTCCCATGTCCTTGCTGCACAAAGCACTGGGAATAGGTTGATTGTTTCCAAACAGCCCCAAATAAAGTTTTTGTTGGACTTAATTTCTAAAATGGGTTTGTGGGTAGAAGAGAGACAAGTCCAGTGTGGGCTGAGATCAGATTGCTGGTCTTGCTGGAAAGGCCAGGACCCTATTCTGGAGCTGGGCTCTAAGAAATCACCTTTGGGGATGAGTTACTGTGCTGCGTGTTTTTAGAGTATCCCTGTAGGAAGCAAAGCAGTGGCCTCTAAAGATAAAGCCAAGTGCTAATACAGTGAAACAAAAGGGGAGGGGCTGGACTCTGGCCACTTCCTCATTAACATCTTCATTCATTTTCATCCTACTTATTTCTAAGTTTTACTTCATCATATCTGTCCATTCTGAGCAGGCTGTATCCTCTTTAATTAGTGTTGCTAACATGATAACACTAAGGAGGAAAAGCAAGACCCCGGTTTGATTTTCTGATTATAATGCCCTGCTTTTATTGGACGCTTTAAAGTGCTCAAAGAGAGCTATAGTTTTCTTTCTTCCTTGCTTTCTTATTTCCTTTATCCCCACAGTATGAGATGAATAGGCATAGAAAAGCTTCTCCTCATTAAACACCCAGAGAAAGTCAGCACGTTACTTAAGACTGCACAGTGAACAACTGGAACCCAGATTAGAATCTAGGTTTTTTTCAGTTCAGTATTGTAGTTTGTCTTCTTCCTGTTCTCCTTGGAGCTAAGGTTATGTATTTTTTATTTGCCACACTGGCTTTCCCTTTTCCCAAGTTTTAAATGCTATGGCAAGGACTGTTTTTTGTTTACTTAGAACTTCCATTGGTATTCAGATCTTAACTAAAATTGTTCCAGACTGTGATATTCCTTCACATTTTATTAACATTATCAATATGAACTTGTCAAGTTTACTATATATAAGACATAGTTGAATGTTGGGGACCCTGCCTCCATGTCTCCATTTTACCAGGTCCCATGGGAGGAAAAAACTGCTTGTTTGGCAGTCAGGAAGTGCTTAGGGTTTTTGTCTTATGTCAGTTACAAGGATTTCAGTGGCTTGGTCTGGAATCATAGCTCTAGTGCCTTGCTGTATGTATAACAAAGAACCACATGTGTGCTCTTTGGGCCCCACCTTCAGAGATTTTAATTTAGTAAATTTGAGGTAAGACCCAAGCATCTGTATTTTTTAAAACTCCGAAGTGATTATGATACACAGCCAGGGTTGAGAACTACTGTTCTAAAATAGTTTATGAATAACACATCACAAGACATGTAAAAATTTATTTGTATGGCATCCTGGCACATATAGAAATGGGTGATATTTGTAGGACATCCTAGAGTAACTGACGAGTCTGCTCCTGGCTGGAGGTGACCAACCTAGGGACTTTGGAAACCCTAGGTCCCCATGAATGAGGGGAATAAACATCTCTAATCCATTCAAGGCCTATCGATTGGGAAGCTCTGTTCTGGAGACCTCAAAGTTCTTGACTAACCTCACCTAAAACTGGCCAGAAGCAAGTAAAATCATACCCAAATAGGGCAAAGGAATAGTGACCCAGGAATGCTACTGAGGCCAATGGAATCTACACATATGTTTTCACAAAAGAAGACTCAAAGTTAGACCTCTGAGCTAGAGATCTCAAGCCTGGCATTTCCTGGAGAAAATACAGGTTTGAAAACTTTGGTGTTTACTGTTGGAGAATCTTGTGTGTATGACTAAATGAGGTCGAGGGAAGAGGGCAAGAAAATGAAGTGCACAGAGCCTTTCTGGCATTTATTGAGCAAGGTCTTTACTGAGTCTTCTTGGGCTTGTTTGTCCTCCATTTCTTCCTAATAACCCCAGATAGAGCTGGGGCAATTCAGCTTTTCAGTTCAAGTGCAGAGATGGCTGTATTCACCCAAATATGTTGTGACATATTTGAGCATAAAAGATCTGCAGAATCAGTGAGGCAGAGTCAGAATTGTCAATTGTGGGAGCTTTAATTTGGTTCATTCTGTCCTGGCAGCTTCAATTAGTGGGGACACAGGGGTTATCCATGTAGTGGAGAAAGAAGAGGACCTGCAGTGGGTTTTGACTGATGGCCCCAACCCCCCTTACATGGTTCTGCTGGAGGGAATGCTCTTTACCAGGTAAGAACTGTATGTGCCTGCTGGGAAGATCCATCTAGAGAGGGAAGATTCAGTGAACAGTCTTCACATTTGTGAGTGAAGACTTCCCTTGGCTGCCCTGGTCTGGTCAAGGGAGGGGGCAGGGGTAGTCCTCAGAAGAAAAGATGTAGCATCAAAAGGAATCATCTCAGTCACCTTAAAAGTAAAGCTCCAGTGAGTAAGGACCCCAGGGAGGAAGGAAGGGAGCTCAGGGTCACTCAGGGACAAGGTAGATGAGATTAAGCCCGGAGCTCAGATTGGATCATAGTCCAGACTCAGAAGTTAGAGACTGAAAAAGGAAGAAATAAGTCAACAGTTCTGATTTCCCTAATTCCCCATTTGTTTCCATCCTGGGGGCCAGAATGTTGGGCTGTCTGATACCTTCCTGTTTTCCTTCGTGGCGTTCTCTCCCTGTTCCAGGGAAATAATGGAGAAACTGAAGGGGAGAGCCAGCCGAATTGCTGGTCTTGCAGTGTCCTTGGCCAAACCTAGTCCCACCTCAGGCTTCTCTTCTAGCGTGCAGTGCCCAAATGATGGGTTTGGTAAGAACCCCAAAGGACCAAGAGAGCCTACTGTCACCCAAGGCTTATTGTTGCTTCTGTCTCATATCTGTGTGTGTCTGTATCTGTGTGCAGGTGGGGAGGGGGGGTATGTGTATATCTGTGTCTGTGTATAGTGTGAGCAACTGACTCCCAAGCAGAAGATAGTCTTTGCCACTCATCTCTTCCCTCTTCTGCTTCTCTTATTCCTCCTACCTTTCATTTCTTCTTGTCATATTCACAGTTCCCTAATCTGCTAGTCTAGGGCTCCCTAATGCCAGTGTCTCTCTATTTAAGTGTGGGTGGGAGCAGTTAACACCTGCTTCTTTGAGTCATCCCCTCCTTTTGAACTCTTAATCCCAATCTTACAATATCCTAACCTTCTTCCCTCACCTCCCTCACGTCCCTAAGTGCTTGGTGTTCCAATAACCTATCCTCCCCCATCATCACCTCCCCATCCTCTCCTTCAGGTGTTTACTCCAACTCCTATGGGCCAGAGTTTGCTCACTGTGAAGAAATACAGTGGAATGACCTGGGCAGTGGCTTGGCTTACGAGGACTTTAGTTTCCCCATCTTTCTTCTTGAAGATGAAAATGAAACCAAGATCATCAAGCAGGTAAGGACTCTGCCAGTTCCTAGCAATTCTGGTTAGAGGATTATATTTTAGGTTCTCCTGTTTGAGGGGAGAGTCATTCTAGTAATGCACCCTCTGAAAGGCGATTGTTCTAAAAAGAACCAAGAAGTTTATTTTTCTCATGTTCACCTCTCCCATTTCTCTCCTGCCTGATATGATAGCATTAAAGGCTTTTAGACTGGAAGAAAATAAAAAGGATATTTGAAATAATAATATGAAACAAGGTGTACAACCCTGGTTAAGAACCATTAGTGTGGTAAAAAGAACATTGGACTAGGAATTGAGAGATTCAGTTCAGTAATTTCTGAGGTTCTTTTTAGCTCTAATATGCTCTAATTCTAGTCTAGCTTCTTCATTTTGTCTCACAGAATAGTTAAGATGGGGTAATTTCTTCTTTTTCTCTTCTGGCTGGCCTGTGCGGGGTTCTGAACCTGTGACCTTGGTGTTATAAGGCTGCACTCTAACCAACTGAGCTAACTGGCTGGCCCAAGATGGGGTAATTTCATCTGCTCCATCTAAGTCATTGAGTCTGTGCCACTTGCGCCTCTTGATGAATTTTTCTCTTTGACCTTATAGATCGTGATTGTACCAGGGCAACCAGAGCTCAGGGACAAATGTCTCCCAAAAGGGAGTGACTTAAGGATGGAGCTAGGCTCTTCTCTTTCTGGGAAGTAAGAGAGGGACTCCACAGCTAGCTGTCTCAGTGGGGTCCATCTCCCCTTCCAGTGCTATGAACCAGAGCTCAGGGACAAATGTCTCCCAAAAGGGAGTGACTTAAGGATGGAGCTAGGCTCTCCTCTTTCTGGGAAGTAAGAGAGGGACTCCACAGCTAGCTGTCTCAGTGGGGTCCATCTCCCCTTCCAGTGCTATGAAGATCACAACCTGAGTCAGAATGGCTCAGCACCAGCCTTCCCGCTATGTGCCATGCAGCTCTTCTCACACATGCATGCCGTCATCAGCACTGCCACCTGCATGCGGCGCAGCTCCATCCAGAGCACCTTCAGCATCAACCCAGGTAGGGCAGATCTAAGCCATGCTGAGTGTACTGGGGTGGGGGTAGGGAGATCAGGCCAGAGAATGTTGGAGAGACCATGGCAGGGAAGTAGTGGGTACAGGCAGGAAGCACTGGATGGGAGAAGTGAGACAGTTCTGAACAATGTAGACAGCTTATTCCTCAAATGGATGGTGGCAGAGAAACCAACCTGGAACAGTTGGAAGTAGAGAAAATGACTCACAGAAGCCATGGGGCACTGGTCAAAGAAGTCTTTCATGCCTTCTTTGTATCTGTCCTCTCCCTGAGTCCCACTGATCTTTCACTGTTTGTGTCCTGCTTAGAAATCGTCTGTGACCCCCTGTCCGACTACAACGTATGGAGCATGCTTAAGCCTATAAATACATCTGGGACATTAAAGCCTGATGACAGGGTTGTGGTTGCTGCCACCCGGGTGAGTGTTGGCCCCTGATCAGGATGAGCAGGGCTGGCACAGAAAGAGCTGGCAGGCCTCTCATGGGCGTGTCAGATTTCAGAATTGCTACACTGGGAACCCCCAAATGGAGAGGGATCTGAGCTGCAGGACTCCCAGGTTCTCTCTATCACCCCAAGACACATATATTCTCTTGTCTGGAGCAGGAGAGGGGTCTTGGGGCCTGGTCCTGATTTCCAGTTTGAAAGCTTACCTCCCCTGCCTTTTCTTCTGCTGTACACAGCTGGACAGTCGTTCCTTTTTCTGGAATGTGGCCCCAGGAGCTGAAAGTGCTGTTGCCTCCTTTGTCACCCAGCTAGCTGCAGCTGAAGCTTTGCAGAAGGCACCAGATGTGACCACCCTACCCCGCAATGTCATGTTTGTCTTCTTCCAAGGGGTAGGGGCTCTTCAGCCGGGGTGGGATGGCAGGGAAGGAAGGGGATGTTGAACGTGGCTATTGGTTGAAGAAGACCTCAGTACCTGGCCTAAGTTGTTAAACAGCATAGAACTTTTGGATATGTCTATGTGTGTCTCCCTTTCAAAGTCCTCCATTTTAGGAAGCTTCTATGCTCTGAATTGGTGTGTTACCAAATTCCTCACTTTCCACTGATAAGATCTACTTGAGGCATCCTTTTACTTTTATTCTCTGGACACCTTTACTGCTACCTCCACCCAGCAGCCCTGAGGCTCCTGCCTCTCCCCAATGGTACCATGGCGTGGCGCTAGAATGAGGGAACAGCAGCCGTTGCTAAGTCATTGGAGGTGGGGGAGAGTCCAAAGGCAGGCACATAACAGCTGATGTTTGCCTTAGGCCTTTACTAAGGCTGCTTTCCCCATTTCTGGGCTAGAGAAGTCCCATGATGCATGTGATGGATAGTCACAGCTGGGAAGTGGGGTGGGGAGCAGGGGAAAGCCATGTGACCATGTAAACTGACTAGCAGTTGAGATGACCTGAGACAGTCTTCTTGCCCGCAGCTTTGATGATCTGGCCTTCCTTGAGGCTTCCCTAACCCTTTGGATTCTCTGTTCCCTTTCCCACCCATCTCCACCCCTCAGGAAACTTTTGACTACATTGGCAGCTCAAGAATGGTCTATGATATGGAGAAGGGCAAGTTTCCTGTGCAGTTAGAGAACATTGAATCATTCGTGGAGCTGGGACAGGTGTGCAGCATGTGTCCTCCACACCCTTCCTTCCTACTTAAAACTTCTTCCTCTGTGTTGTTCTGTTGTCCTCACTTCAGGTACCACCACCTCCTCCCTTAACTCCTTTCCCCCAGGTATGGACCAGAACAGGAGACTGACTATAGGTGTTGCTCTTCATCCTCCCCCAGGTGGCCTTAAGAACTTCTCTAGAGCTTTGGATGCACACAGATCCCATGTCTCAGAAAAATGAGTCTGTAAGGAACCAGGTAACCTAAGCATCTCTCCTCATTTCCTGCTTCAAGAGCTCAGAATACAGAACTCACCCCCATCCCCTGCCCTGTTCCCACCAACCCCCAGGGCCTATGAGATAGGATAAGGGACAGGGTTAGACTGAGTGTTGGCTAAAGGATGAACACCACAGCTGTTATTGGTCCCTGAGAAAAATCCCATTGGTTCCTTGTAGCAGGTAGTTCTCTGATCATTGGGTGCCTAGCAGACTACCACTGCCTGTTTAGGACAGGTGAGTGATTAGTTCCCTCCTGTCGTTGCTGCCCCATGGATCCAGTTGTCAAGGCTGTGTTAGATTGTTCTCTTCTTTCCTTACTGCCTGTTCAAGACCCTCCCTCCCTTCCAGGTCCAGCTTTAGGCTAGCTTTTTTCCGTGTGGTACTCTTCCTGCCTCTCATGCCTTCAATGTCATCCCTGCTGTGGACTCCTGTAGCACTTACTGAATTGGTTACCTGTTTGGCATTCAGTGTATGGTTTTGTATCATTTGATCCCTCTGGTTCTGCACAAAAAATAACAAGTGAAACATCCACCAAAGATAAGGCAGAGTCCTGAGAACAGTGGAGTTTACCTATAAATATGAAAAAACACAGGCCTCTTCTTTGTGCCCTAATTTCCTAACTCTAAAAAGAATGGTGGGAGCTACAGGAAATTCAGAGAGCCTTGGTCCCTAAAGGCTTGAGTAATATGGCTCTAGGACAGCATAGGGCAACTCTCCAAGCAGGCAACTTGAAATATAGAGCATTTCAGGCCTAAAAGAGATGTCCCACTTCTCATTCCACAGCCTCCCATCAGTCAATGTCCCTCATCCCCCCCAGGTGGAGGATCTCCTAGCTACACTGGAGAAGAGTGGTGCTGGTGTCCCTGCTGTCATCCTCAGGAGGCTGAATCAGTCCCAGGCTCTCCCACCATCTTCTCTGCAGCGATTTCTTCGAGCTCGAAATATCTCTGGTGTTGTTCTGGCTGACCACTTTGCTGCCTTCCATAACAAGTAAGAGTCACCTGGTCCTGTACCCTCTTCCTTCTTGAAGAGAGTCTATTCTGCAGTCTGGTAGAAAGGCCGCTGCCCTTCCCTCTCCTCATACCACCCTTTCCAAAACCTCAGGTCAGTTTGTGTTCTTTGCTCAGTGGCCTATTCACATCTGACTTGATGTTTATCTTAGAAAACTATCCTCACCCTGAGCCCTTTCCTAGCACAGTCATCTTTAGTTGTGGTTTCACTTTTCCTAAGCTCTCCAGAGGCCTGAGTTCCCCAGGGCTGCCAGCAGAGGGCATCATCTCAAACAAGAACGTGGGAAGGATGGTGGGGGTTCTTTGGCTGGAGTTCAGAAAGTGGTCCCTGCCTGGGGGCCCACCCAAGGGTGCCACAAACAGTGTTCATGTTCTGTGAGACGTAACATATTCTTTCCATGTGGTAGGTGCACATGGTTCAGTGCTAAGGTAAAAGTGTCCCCTTTTTGGAGCTGAGGGGGCTTCAGAGGTAAGTAGTGAAGCACTGTTAGTCACCCCTTTCCTGATTCTGGGTATACCCTGAAACTGCTCCTAACTTGAGGCCTGGGGTAACAGGGGACTTGTTACTGAGGCTGGATTGCTAAGTCCCCAGCCTTCCAAGGGCCAAATGAATTTCTGAGTAAAGTTGCTTAAGCTCTGGTTCTCCAACCCAGCCAAGTAGCACCTCCTCGTTCATTTAGGGAGTGACAGGTTTAGCAGGTAGGGTCAGCTCTCTTCTTCAGATCTTTCCCCTGCACCACTTTGAGGGAGAGACGATTCATCATTTGAACGCATTTTGGGCCTGATTATGTGGCTGACTTGATTCTTTGTGGGGCAGAGATTTATTGATGGTAAAGGCTGGGAGCTCTCTTAGCCCCTCTTTTAAGATTTGTCTCTGTGGAGCTCACCAAGGATTGTCACGGTGGTTTGATCCTGTGAGTTCTTTGAAAATTGTCTTAGCTGTTCTACATCTATATCTCCAGCCCAAACAGTATAGAGGAATCTCCTGTGTTTAAAAAATCCAAGCTCATTTACATTTTCTACTTTGTCTGTCAGAAAAGACTTTGTATTTCATTTACCATTCACTCCCACCCCCGTATTTTCCACACCTGCTTCAATATGAGATCCTAATTTTCTCTCTCACCCTTCTTCTGGGTGATGAGATGCCAATTTCCTGCATAAGGGGTGCTTGAGAGAGGAAAGGGGCAGGGCCCTGGCTGAATGTAGCCAAGGTTCATGCTGGCTTTTCTGGCAGGTATTATCAGAGCATTTATGACACTGCTGAGAATATTAATGTGAGCTATCCTGAATGGCTAAGCCCCGAAGAGGACCTGAACTTTGTGACGGACACTGCAAAGGTAGCACTGACCCAGGCTGGGTGGGAACATGGGGAACACAGTGAAGATGCTTAGAATGTTAGCATTTGAGGATAGAAGAGGAAGGCTATTCAGTCCCCTCCTCACCCACCACAGGCCCTGGCAGATGTGGCCACGGTGGTGGGACGTGCACTGTACATGCTTGCAGGAGGAACCAACTTCGGTGACACAGTTCAGGCTGATCCCCAAACGGTAAGAGCAGATGGGCCCTACCTCCCTTCTGTCTCTGTTTACACAGTAGGCTGCCCCCATCCGTTATGTCCCTCCCTCGTCTTCCAAACCTTGGAATTCAGCATGCCCGTTCATGCCAGTGAGGACACTGGGTGCCCCAGAGAGCTCTTGGGTGGGCCTCATTTGCATCCTTATGAGCCACCCACTGTCTCTCAACCCTAGTCTATCTGGCCAGGCTGGTTCCTGCCCATGACTGCATCTTCACTAATAATCCTTTCCCTGAGCTCAATCTAAGTCACAGGGTTTTCTCTTCTCACTGTTCCAATTCTAGGTTACCCGCCTACTCTATGGGTTCCTGGTTAGAGCCAACAACTCATGGTTCCAGTCTATCCTCAGGCAGGACCTAAGGTCCTACTTGGGTAAGCATTTGGTATGGGAATGGGACCGTTAGCCAAGAAAAGGAATAGAGAAAGAGACATCATTTTGGTTTAATCTTTTCTTTTTTTCTTTTTCCTCTCTCTTTCGCTTTCACCTTGTTTTCTTCTTTCTCCTGATATTGTTGTATCATTTTCTCTTAACCTTCTTTTTTCTGGTTCCTGTCAATCCTGGGCTTTTCCTATTTCTGCTTTCACACACCCCACCTTCCTCCCACCAAATCCTCCCTTCCCTCTGTTCTGCAATCAGGTGATGGGCCTCTTCAACATTATATCGCTGTCTCCAGCCCCACCAACACCACTTATGTTGTACAGTATGCCTTGGCAAATTTGACTGGCAAGGTGATCAACCTCACCCGAGAGCAGTGCCAAGATCCAAGTAAAAACCCAAATGAAAACAAAGATGTGAGTGGTGGTGGGTGTTGGAAGTGCCCTGGGCCCCCTTCCCTTGGGAAAGTTGGAGGATCTCCTAGGCCTGGTTGGACCCAGGGAATTGGGATGGAGAGGTGGAGGGATGCAGCCATTTGAACTTGAGTGTTGAAGAGGGTAGCCTAGGTGAAAATGGACCATCTAAAGGGTAAAGGGTCAGCAGCCAGTTAGCTCAGTTGGTTCAAGCATGGTACTGATAAAAGGTCAGGGGAGCCAGTGAGAAGAGGATCACTTCAGACCCGTGCTGTGGCCCGTCTTCTTTGCAGCTGTATGAGTACTCATGGGTTCAGGGCCCTTTGAATGCCAACGAGACAGACCGACTCCCCCGGTGCATACGTTCTACGGCACGATTGGCCAGGGCCTTGTCCCCTGCCTTTGAACTGAGTCAGTGGAGCTCTACTGAATACTCAACATGGACTGAGAGCCGCTGGAAAGATATCCGTGCCCGGATATTTCTAGTTGCCAGCAAAGAGCTTGAGGTGAGATGGGGCAGGAGGGGAGGTGGCAGAGATCTGTTTGCCTTCTTTCTGCTGTCTCTTGTCTCAGACCCCCTTCCATCTCCCATTTGCCCTAAATTTGTGGCAAAACCTACTGCAAATCTGTCCCTGTTCAGCCAGCATGTCCCATTAGGAGGCCTTTCCTTTTTTTTTTTTTTCCTTTTTTTGTCTTTTTTACTGACCAGCAATGGGATCTCAACCCTCGGTGTTGCGCCCGCACCGCGCTCAGCCAGTGAGCGGGAACCGGTCTCCACATGGGATCCGAACCCTTGGTGGGAGCGCCGCCGCGCTTCCAAGCGGCGCACTCTCCAGTGCACCACCGGGCCGGCCCATGGAGGCCTTTCTTCACTGATAGTTTGAGTGTGTGTTCCTTCTGGAGAGCCCCGTGGGTCCTGGAAGCTCTTCCACAGCTCCCACTCCCATCTGGCACAGCTGGGATGAGTCAGTCTAATACTTATTTGAGCCCCTGTCGCAAGTAAGTCAGTAATGTAAGTGCCAGGACAGAATCAAAGCCCTGGGTCCTACCTTCACAATGCTTAAAATCTAAGTAGTACAAGATGGAAGCAAAAGCAGAGATACTTCTCTTTTCAAATAGGGAAAAAGTCTGCAGATTAGAGAGATGTTGCCCATGATTGTTCCATACTTGGTGGTTAGAGCCAGCACCAAAATTTTGATGTCCTGGCTCCCAACCCCAAGCAATTATCCAAAGCTGCATTGAGTTCTGAGAATACCTTTCTCTTCCCTTCCCCCCACCCCCAACCTCCCACTGCAGTTTATCACCCTGATGGTGGGCTTCGGCATCCTCGTCTTCTCTCTCGTCATCACCTACTGCATCAATGCCAAAGCCGATGTCCTTTTCATTACTCCCCGAGAGCCAGGATCTGTGTCTTACTGAAGAGGACCCCAGCTTTTCCTGCCAGCTCTGCAGTCATTTCCTAGAGCCTTTGTCCCACTGGAACACAAACCACTAGTTTGTCACTGGATCCTCTCTGGGCCTTTCTCAGACTGGGATTAACATAAAGGACTGCAACTGTCCAAAAAAGACAGGGAGAGATAATAAGTTGCTTCCCTTCTCTTCCTCAGCTCCCCCTTCCCATCTCCCCTACCCCATTTCCTCCTCCTTCCCTATCCCTGCCAGATTCTGGGACTACAAATAGAAGCTTCTTGCTCCTGTTTAACTCCCTAATTACCTACCCTAATGTGCCTTTCTTCAGGATCACTCTTCTGCTCTTTCCATCCTGCCATGTACCTCCCTCTCCCCCCACCACTACCCTCACACCCAACCATCTTCCTGACCAGAAAGAAGAACGTGAAGAGTTGAATGTTAGGATCAAACTACAATTGAATCACGGAGGAAGAGGACAGGGGAATCTCTGGGCTGAGCCTGCTCCCAACCATCTTCCTGACCAGAAAGAAGAACGTGAAGAGTTGAATGTTAGGATCAAACTACAACTGAATCACGGAGGAAGAGGACAGGGGAATCTCTGGGCTGAGCCTGCTCTCCTCTTCCCACTGTCCTCTTTCCTCCAGGTCCTCAGATGGCACATTAGTGTGGGTGTGCTGCTGGGTGGGTATCCCACCTCCAGCCCACAGTGCTCAGTTGTACTTTTTATTAAGCTGTAATATCTATTTTTGTTGTTTTCTTTTTCCTTTTTTTTTTTTTTTGTAAATATATAAATAGCAAGTTTCATTAAAATGGATTATCCCACATGACTTGTACTGTTACCTGTTGTTCTTCCCAGGCCACTTTGTTCAGTGACCCCAGACTGGAAGTCGTGAAATTGCTACCTTGCATGCTATCTTCTTGGTCTCCAGAAGACCCAAGGAGTAAGGCTGTGTTAAAAACAGTTGAAGTCCTGAAAGGAGGGCTCTTTACAGAGCCCTGGAGCTGTAGTTCCCCTCTTGTAACAGTGTTAGCATAGTTTCTTCTCACTTTGTAATGGACAGATGTTTATTCACCCTGAGACACTGCCTAAGGTACAGAGATGAAGAGAATACAACCCTTACCCATGAGCAGCTCACAGTTAGGGTGTTGGAAGAGACAGACATACTCACATCTAGGTGTCATGCAGTATAGTAAATAGAATAATTGCACTATGTCCAGAATGCTCTGGTAGCATGTTGAGGAATTCACAGCAGTAGGGGTGACAATTCAAGTTATGATTTAGAGGGTTCACCCCATGTGAAAGAAGAGTCAAGAAAATGCATGAGTCATGTTTGGGAAATGGTTAAGTTATTTAGTGTGCCTGAACCTCAAGGATCAGCTAGAGGTAAGGCTGGGGCCAGGTCACAAAGGCTCTTGGATGGCATGTGGAGGAGTTTTGGCTTTCTGTTGATGGTGGGCTTTTTGTAGACCCAAACAAGGGTGGTTTGGGACTGTCTTAGAAAGAACCTCTGTTCTGTGGAGATGCTCTAATTCCCTGGGTCTTCAGGGAGGCAGAATTCTGGATTATAGCAGAACTACTAAATGATCGTGGCAGTGGCTGAGTCAGCTGAGGGGGTAAGAGAACCAGCGAGAGTGGAAGCCTCATCCAGCATTCTTTCCTCCCTGCTGGCCAAGAGGTCATCTCTGACACATGCCTGAAGACCAGTAGCCATGGAAAAGAACTGACAATTTGCACAGGGTCCCAAGCTCTCCTCCTACTTCCCTAATGGACTATTTACCTTTTCAAATCCTGCTGAGAAAAAGTGATTTTTCTCCAGGTTTCTCTCCAAGTTCCCTGGGGGAGTGCATGTTTGGGATTCTGAAATATAGAAATAGACCCTGCTGCTTTCCCCCACCCCAACCCTCCCAGTTTGAGCTGGAGAAGCTGTGTGCTGTGCTGGCGGGAGTCAAGCACAGCTGCCACCATCATCTGGGCCGGCTCCATGCCTCCCTCGGCCAACAGGTCTCCCAGCGGACAGAGCAGTAAACTCCCTCATCCTGCTGTCAGCTTCGGGAAGCAGGGAAGTGGCTGGGTATCAGTGAGGGAACTGAACAGGGAAGCAGAGGGTTGAGCAGAATCACGGGATCAGGGGTTGAGTAAGAATTAAGGGTATAAGAGGTAGGACATTCAACTCTAATCTCCTCTGCCTAGGGAAGAATCCTGAACACAAACTGTCTTCTGCCTTCCATGTTCCTTTCCCCTTAACCTCACCTCCCCCACCCCCCAACAACGACAGAAAGCCCACTTGGGTCTCTTTCCACGGCTCTTGGAGAGACCAGGCTCCATGGAAGGAGCGCAGCCTCCTAGATGACTGACTCACTGGAGCTCCTAAGCACCCTCCCTTTCTAAGACCGAGGTTCTGGCTCCTCACCAGGTGTCTCCTGGATCCTGAAGTCCATATGTGATGCTTGTAGCGTCTTTCGGGCCACATCCTTCTCAATTCTTTAGCCTCCCTCTCCCTCCCGGATCTAGGCCTTGCTCACCCTGTGCCTTCTGAAGTTTATTATTTTCCAGTCCCTTTTCTTTCCCTCCCACCCTACTCTTGCCCATTGCTAATTCACAATGTCCTTTCTCTTCCTCCCAACCCATTTAGATAGTTGAATAACTGACAACCCCTGCTTCAGGACCCAGCCTGTCTCCAGCTATTGTGATACCTTGTCCCTTCAAAACTAATACTGATTGAAGGCTTTCCTACCAGCTGATGTCTCTTCCCCTGCTTATCTGAGTAAAAGGTTTACTATTTGCTGTTACCCACATCTGGGTCACTGCTTCCAAGGACACATCCTGGGAGGTGATATTTTTCATTCAAAGGCTGGCGTTCTGTACCAAGATCCCACCTTATTCAGTAGGACTTTATTTATTCAAGGGAACATATAATAAGACTTTAGAAATCATGTGTATGGTCAAATTCATTTGATAGTTGGGGGAAATGGTAGCCCAGAGGAGTGATGTGGTTTGCCCAAGGTCACACAGCAAAATAGAGACAGAGCTGGGACCAGAACATTTCTTATATCTGCACTGACAGCCACAGCAGTAATAAACATTTATTGAGCATGGCTATGGGCAAGGCACTCTGTCCCAGCATTGTAAAAGGGTAAGAGATATCATGCTATCCCTTAGAGACTTAGGATCCAGAGTCTAGATGGCAGGATGGGACATGACACAAGATAAATAAGCAGGCAAGGCAGTGAATGCTCCATGAAAAATCAGTGCTTATCTATATACAGGTTCTACCAGAGTTCAGAGGATGGAGGGCTTGCTTCAAGTGGGTAGGGCCCGTAAGGAGGAGCTTCATGTTGTGGGAAGAGCCCAAGATCAGATTTTTGATCTGCCTCTCATGCTCAGTGTGACCTTGGAAATGGCCTTTCCCCTATCTGTAAAATGTGGTGTTAGGGGCTGCTCTTCCCCCAGCTCTGCCAGTCTGGTTTATGAAGGGAGAGTTGAATTGTAGACTTCTCTCCCTTCCCCCTTTCAGCTTAAACTCCTCAGTGCAGGGGCAGTTTAAAAGGCTGATCATTTCAGAAACTCAAAGGTAGCACTAGGATCAATTTCAGGGAGGGAGGCCTGTGGGGCACACTCACGTTCTAACCCAGGGACAATAGGAATTTGGGAAAATTGTGGCATAACATGATGTAAAAGAGACCCTGTCACTCAACATCCCATCCTCCAAAAAAGCTTGGCAGGAGTTGTTGAAATTGAGCTGGGGGAGCAGAGACCCTTGGAAGGCCAGGGTCCAAAGGACCTCCAGCTGGATTTTTATTCCTTCCTGTATTCAAACTCAGAAGCTAGAGGAGCTCCCACACTCCTCCTGTGGAGAAGGGCAGCTGTAGCCCCTGTCCCCAACTCGGGGAAACTCAGAGCAAGAGTGGAGGGGTCATCTCATGAGGCCTAAGGAGAAGCCATTAGTCTGAGGTGATGCAATTACAAGTAAATGTTACCATCCTCTGGCTCAGGCTGGTTGGTTGCTCAGGGGCTGGGGGCTAAGGCCGTAGAGTTCCCCACTCTCTCTTCCCTGCTCACAATTGAGGAGGAGTTAGGGAGACTTGGGGTTGGGGGGAGAAAAAAACTTAGATGAGAGAAGGTACCCAGAAAAAACTAAGCTAGTGGAGGGAAACTGAGGAAGCAGGGATTCCTGGTAGGGCTGAAGGAGGAAAGGGAGGTGGAGAGCTGGAACTGAGCCTGAGGGGAGAAAGGCCAGGAGGGCGTGGCTAGGAGGGGAGTAGACCCAGAGCTGGTGGTGACAGATGGGTGGACACAAAGAAGAGAGCTTCAGGGAAGACAGATGGATGGGGGAGGGAAGAGGAGAGGCTGGGGGAGGGGGCAGTGCATGGTGCAGTGGTTGGAGGCCGTAATGAGACGGGAGATGGGCTCTGAGCTGAGGAGAGGTGAGTGGAGAGGAAAGAAGAAAGGGAGGCCGCCTTAGGAGACAAAGGCGATAAGGCCTAGGGGGCCAGGGGCAAGAGGGCTCAGGGGCTGGGCACTGGGAAGGGGGGCTTCCAGCCAGGCTGGCAGCAGAGAGAGTGACAGATTGTGTAGTTAGCTAGAGTGGAGACCCGCTGTCACCTTCTAGAGGCACAGAGAATTGGAGACAGAGAAAGACAGACTGACAGAGACCATGTGGAAACAGATAAGGAGAGAAACTCAAAGATGGAAGATGATCCAAGACGCACTGACACTTCCCAAAAACACAACAGCTCAGACCCAGGCTCTTCCTGCCTTTCTTGCTCCTGTGACCCAAAACACTGCCAGTCCCTCATAAAAAAACTCCCAGCCATGGGCCACTCCCAGGAAAGGGTCAGGCAGTGTGGCACAGCTAGAGTTAACACCGTCTGCTCTCCCTGCCAGCCGCTTGCCTGGTTGGGTCCCTAGGGCTCCCCACATATGTCACCCCCTCTCCTGCCAAACCCACTGCTTCCCAGCTCCTCCAGGCCCTCCCCCCCACCTTTAAGGACTAGGCCTAGGCTCCTGTGTCTTCCCTACACCCCAACCTCCCTCTCCCAACAATCTACCTCATGGGCTGTCTGCGGATAGAAACATTTGTGAATCACAATCTGAAAAACTGAATGCCTATAAAATGTAAAATAACAACTATAAAACATAAAGCCATAATCCTCCCCATCCCCAGGCCCTGCTCCTCCTGCTCTTCTTACAACAAAGACCCCCACACAGCTCCCAGGGTTCTCCTCCTTTGGGGCCTAGGGCTACTGGCAACCCGAGCTGACCTCAATCCTAATGTCTCAGATATATGTGTGTATGAAACTTCTTGCTACCTTTAAATCACTGTACACACGTAGGGGGTTGGGAAGAGCACTTCACAGTTTACCCAGCATTATTTTACACATTCCCATGCATTATTTCACCTGGGTGTCACAAAAACCCTGTGAAGAAGGCAACATTATTCACATTTCACAGGTGACAAAATAAGACTCAGCCAAGGTTAAGTGATTGTCCAGGGTC